ACGCAGTGTTTAAAACAGTGTGTCCTCTGAAAGGTTTTGTAATCACGCAGTTCACTTGATACTGCCTGAAGGCTAAGTTTTGTTTTGTTGAAGGTGCTTGGGTCAGAAGCGAAGGCTAAACATATCAGAAGTCATCAGTGGCTCACTATGGCTAGTTATAAGCATCACTATTTGTAGCTGGACATGCACTAAGTAATTCAGTGCAACTATAAACATTGTTGTAAAGATTTCCGAAGTCACTTGGTCGAGTTCAGACGTAACAGAATAAACAAAATATTAGAAATGCAAATAAATTCGAACAGTATACGCAACATTACTGTTCACCCTTGTTTCTCATGTTTGACAAAGTCGATGCAGTATAGGAAGATAAAAGCTGGATTGTATCTCTGAAAACAGTTACAATTAATCAAAATGAAGCAGGTATACAAAAGTAAAGTACAGACCGGAAATCCGGACTTATTAACTTTCATCTCTATGCCAAAAATGACTAGATTTCTGTGCTTGCTGCTTATTATCCTTCATCTTAAAACCATATGAATTCATACCAAGATCCTTTAATAAGTTTATGGTCTCTTCATCTGTCTCGCTGATATTCCTGTTGAAATCATCTACAAAGATTTCTATTGTCTGTGGTAAATCAGAAGTATCCATCAGGATATCAAGCAGTGAGTCCTGCCATTTTTAGGCTGTTTCTCTTGAATTCAGCATATGTTTAAAATGTTTCTTCTACAACTGTCCTTATTAAGCATACGGTATAGAATATTTTCACTTCTACTCATTAGTTGGTCAAATAATTTACAGGTTCTGAAGAGAATCATAATCGTACATGTTTGTTAAAATAGGGCCACTTACAAAAACTTCCAAATGAATATAAGTTTCAATGTTCATTCATCAAACATAGTGGGGCACTTAGCTACAGCTGAAATATATCAAAGATCGTTGTCGAATGAATTTAAAAATTTCTTCGTAAGATGTTTTTTGATACAAACTCGAGAAGCATGAAGTAGCTTATAAGTATAGTATTATGGTTCAGTAACATGAAAGCGTCTGCAGTATAACGACTTCACTAACGAAAATGTAAATCAAGTAATCAGCCTAAGGACTGATATGATAAATCCAAACCTTATCAGAGGGATAACGAATTTTCCTTCCTTTCTGAAAGCAAAGGAAAAGATTCGCAGCGCGAATGCCTTATAGACAAGCAAAATACAAACCCGACATCAGTGGTTTGAAAGCCATCAACAGGAAAACGTAGCCCAGCTAGCATTCTCACCTACTGGCCTTCATCAAAAAAGTGTATCAGTAACCTCAAGGTAACTCATGTTCCATCATGAATTGGAACCATCATCAACCAGTTTACTTAGGACTGGATCTAACGAAATCAATCACTTTCCAATGGCCAATAAAAATACAACCTAATCTGTTGATTTGATACAGATATTAGCATTTAATACATCAGCCAACAAAAACACTATAAGTGACGTCACAAAATGTAGGCTACATTCGAAAGTGCAGATAAAAAATGTGAAATAAAGACTCATAATCTGATAATATTTCACTTTTTATTGTAAGTAAACATACTCATCAATAATTTTATTTGTTACCCTTCAAAAACGTCATCTCTGGATGTGACGGTTTCCTTATTACTTCTGTAAAATTGCTGAATTCGGAGAGGGATTTAGATGTTAAATATCATAATACATGCAATTTGAGGAAGTGAAAAGATTACAGCTACAATTCACAAAATATAAGTATTCTCATAAAGGATGAGAACATTAAAAAACACTTCTGAGACGACTATAGGGTAAAATTTTAAGTTATACCAATAATTCCTTTCCTCCTAGGAACACTTTAAATTAAAAAATATGCATATTAGGGGAAGTTAGACGTAGAAAACTCATTTTCCTTATCATTTGCTGTGGATAGTACTAATGAATCACTCAAGGACAACAGTTTCCTGTCTCATAACTATTCTTCATTGATTGCACTCAGTTTTTCTGTATTCCTTTTCTAAAAGAATATTGTTGTAGGCAATAAGAACTCTTCAGTTTTTGTGAAGAATCAGAATGACGAGTGCTTTACGCCTACTGGTTTAAAGTTTCTAAGCAGAAAATCCCTTTATTGGTGCATCTTAGTGTAGTATGTTTGCTTGTTTGAATGCCAATAACTGAAAATCACTTGACCTACTTGACTGATGGTGTAGTACACAATAACTTGCGGCAAGAACAGATTTTGCTGTCTGTTTGTAATTTCGTCATCTCATTTAAAACCATCTGAATTTAAAGGCATGATATAGTCGCTAAGAACATTTATCAATGACCAGGGTTTTCAGGTTGTCAAACATTAAATCTGCATCATTCATTGCAACATGATTTTCCAACTTACACAAACAAAGCCAAGGTAAATATTCACCTCTCAAAATTTATTTACAATATGAAGTTAGAAACAGACCATTTGTGCACAAAGTTATCACACTTTCAGTCGAAGTTAAGATAAGTTTACAGAAATCTTCAAACCTCTCGATAGTGACTTTATCTTAGAAATAAGTAGAAAAAATTCAAAGAATTCATAAACACAAACTACCATTAAAACGACATGACACAATGTCATTGGTTACAATGGAGACAGAGAATCACAATTACAAACTCAACTTTGAGAATGTGAAAATCTTTCAAAGAGCAGATTCAAAACCTGCTATCGAATTTCTAGAAACATGGTATTCCACTGAAAAGTTATTCAGTAAACATGCGAACCCACTCTACAATCTACTAAAAAAGAAAAATAGCCACCCACCAACCAAGTGTCAATTGAAAAGACATCGCAGTAATGAAACATAGTGCAAGGAAAACAATTAGCATTATGCCACTATAACAAACATCGTCTACCAATGTTACCAAATAAAGTTTAAGGTCAAAGAGGCCAGGGGATGAAAAAAGTCGCTTTTTTAACTCAGAATTGGATAGCACTCAAGGTAAGCAAAAACACTACCTAAATATTTGTTTAACATTCTAATATGATTTACATCTTATGAAGTTTGTGCTGGGGATGTCAGAAAGCCTAGTAATGAAACGTCCATGACAAAATACCAAACCACAGAAAACATGGAACCAAAATTTCACTGTGATGTTTACCATCCCCTGAGTTGGTTGCCTCAACAGAAATGCTTATTATTTTCATAGCTGAAACCTATTTGAATACATATGCTGTAACAATCGACTATTACTTTGGCTCAAATCTCGATAAATGTTAGCTCTACAGGAAAAAAAAATGGAACAAATATGAGTGTGGTCGCTTGACGATTACGTATGTTACTTAGTAAAGGAAATTTCATTGCTGGTTATGTGATCAAAATTACTTGGGGTGGTTTGAAACAAATTATCTGTGAATGCCTAGTTTCAATAGATTCATGACACTTACTGTTAAATAGTCAAAGAATTAATCTTGAAGACCAGTAACAATGATCTTATGTTTAGCAATGGTTTCGTGCAAAATTATATTATTCCAAATGTGGTTTGCAATGTACGTACTTGAAGCAGGCAAATGATTATCTTTTGAAAGATTCTGTTCCTGAACTTGAATTCCATACAAAAACCGAGACAAAACTGCCAGCTAATATATAGTAGTTTCACTTATTACAGACAAAATAAGTTAACCAATGTCTCGATAACTTTTATTGTAGCGCTTAATTGATAAGTATATTCATGCGGTCTTATGTAAGATAATACCAAGAAATACTGCGCAGTTTATTCTCATTGGCATTATGCAGCTTATGTAGTAAAAGGATACATTCCTAAGTTTTGAGTATCAGCAACCTGATGGTAGGAATCTGGTTATTCTATTTTTTAATCGGTAGATATGATAACATCATATAATCACAATGAATAATAATACAGAGTAGGAATCATTAAACAATCTACTCGTTACATTGTTCATTCTGAATGAAATTCCTATTTGATTGATTCCTTTCCTCGGTAAAAATAAATAAAATGAGTATTTTTGATGACGATGAAATAAGAATAATGCAAGAATGGCTATCCTGAAAAGTTGGTATGGACTGTAACAATGAAGACAGCTGCAGGAAAGCACCTTCAAATTGTACCTAAGGAACGATTGTATCTAACCCTAGCGTTCAAAAGAAGAAGCAGCTGCAGAAACACTGAGACTAAAACTCAGAAATCTGGTAGAAAAAACCTTTTTTGCCACCACACTATGTTTGAAATCTACTACTCTCTGTATGTTTCCAAACAGTTGAAGCATAGGCTTTCGAACCTGGTCACATCTGTGTAGATTTATAAACCTAACTACTCATGTGAAGATAGTTACATAGGTAAAAAGACTCAGCAAGCCTATCATAGCTCCACTGAACACTATCCAGCGTCGCTAAGGAAAGGAACAGTGAAAACCATCAGAAGCTAATTACTTGCCCATTGAGTAGATACTGAGCATAAGACTGCAAAACCTCAGGATTTACTATTGTTTACAAAGTTTACAAAGCGCTGAGTTTGTGTGCCTCCGATTGCTAATCAAAGCTGGGGCCATAGGAATTAGAAATTTTAAACCTAATTTATATATTCAGATTTTTGTTCATTCCCTTTCCCTCCCACAGCCGTCATTCTTCCCAGTTACCCAGATAAATGTAAATAATATTTCTGTTTGTACGCTTACTACTATCATCTTATTTTCATCCTTAGTTACGTGGTTGATCAAGAATTTTGACACTTTATTATCTAATCGCTATAAGACGATAATTTTATTTCCCTCTATCCCTGCCTTTATCTTCTGCTTCATATACCCGAATTAATTTAACTATGATTTTGAGGCAGTATTCATCACGAGCTAACATCAGTTGGGGTACCACTGAAAACTTGGGAACACTGGACAGCTGTTTCGTCCTAGTATGGAACTCCTCAGCAGTACGCACCCACGGACCGGTTAGGGGTCTAACTCAAGACCTTCAGGTTTCACGACGAACGCTTTAACCATTCACTCACTGGGTCAGACTTCAATAGTTCACAGTTCCCAACTTCTGTCAATTTGCGATATAGCGCGACTATCACCCAAGCTCTTGAGATGGCATCCACTTCTCAACTGATGTCAATCCGTGATGAATACTACCTCAAAATCAAAATCCCCATTCATTTCAGAAATACATTAACCATGTTGCATCAAATGACTATGCTGAATAATTTGTAAATGTAATAGTTAACCGAAAATATGTATTCGTTCCAAACTCTGTTCTCTAGTTATCACAGTGGGAATACTTAAATTATTTCTATGTCGCATCTGTTTTCATTTGCGTTTATAAAAATGTCGGTTAGGAGTAGTATGATTATATTTAAATGGTTTACCTTGTATATTCCTCTACTCATTCAAACATTTACGCTGAACAGAAAGCTATGCCTATGAAAATGCACTAAAAAGAGTTCATAATAATATGAAATGAAAAAACAAATGAACTGGTGAAGGACAAGCTTCTAGGCGTGGTTGCATTCTGTAATCCTGGCTAAGGGTAAGTACGTTAAAAAAACACATCATATTCATATTGCAAATTGAAGTTATATTTACAAGTTGAACGGAACAACTGATTGCGATTATACATGAGATTTCTTAGAAAATGATGAAATTTGATAAACTGAAAAATTACCAAACAT